TTTTTGGTGAAACCCCAAGTGCAGGTGATGAATACAATATAACAAAACTAGTTTGCGAAAATTGTGGATGGAATCAATCTACCAAAATTGTATGAAAGTAATTTTTTTTACAAAACAATTCACATGCAATATAACCAATATTCACAAACTTACAATCCGATATGGAAGTAACATCTAAATTTCAAATAAAATTATATGACTTGACTTATACTTGTACAAAACAAATTCTGTAATAAATACATATATCTAACATATGCTTTGGTCATATCGAAATATCTTCTACGAAATGTCTAACCATTAGTCTGTTCCCATGCTTTGTTTGAAGCAGTAAACTCGGATTTCATTGTGAATCGAGTTATACACGCTTGTTTGGAAGATTTTCAAGAAATCGCACCATCTAGGAGAGTAAATACATAGTCACTAGTAGACTTAGATTCATTTGTTTCTATATTTAATAGGCATAATCGAATCCTTCAACTATTGGAGGATATTTTCCATAATGCAATAAATAATATATGATACATTTTTAAGTAGTACAACACTCTAAGTATCGTACTCCAATGTCATTATTGGGATTACTAGTATATTGATTTAGCCTAGGCTATAGTTGGCCTTGTACAATTCATTAAGTACATTAGGCTTCTTCCAATTATCTAGGAATATGCTAATTGTTGTTTACCATTTTCAATATTCTTATGAAGAACTACATGTGGAGGAAATGGAATATTAGATTCATTAATACCTCTCAATCACTTTATCTACATAATGTGTTTGAGACATGGTTATCTCATCAAGTGTTCTAGAGATTTCAAAGTTATTGGTGAGCATTTTCTTTGTCTTATTAGTGACTTATATATTAGTCCCTAATATGAGTATGTCATCAACATGAAGACAACCAAAATGAATACTTCTCCGAATTTCTTTGAGTAAACACATTTATCAAACTCATTTGTGGTGAACCCATTCCAAATCATTTCATTGTCAATTTTTTTATGCCATTGTTTAGGAGTTTGCTTCAATCCGTAAATGGACTTAACTAGTCTAAAAACCTTGTACTTTGAAGACTTTTGGTTGTTCCATATAAACTTTCTCATTTAATTCACCATTTAAAAATACCGTGTTAACATCCATCTAATATATATACAAGTTATACAAGGTTGCAAAAGTAATTAAAACCCGAATATAAGTTATCATTGTCACAGGTGAATAAGTGTAATAAAATTCAAGTCCTTATTTTCGAAGATATCCTTTGGCAACATGTTGAGCCTTATTTTTATCTATTAGTAGAAAGGCATTCTATCTTTCCACAATTCATAAAGTACTGAACTAGTTTTTTGATTAGTAACTCTATTTAGAATAAAGTTAGCAGTTAAAACTACTTCTCCCCCAAGCTTTATGATTAGCGAGAACTAATAAGATAGAGTTAACTTTATCTTTCAAAGTTTTATTTTTCCTCTCATCAACTCCATTGTGCTGGGGAATATATGGAGCATTCTTGGTAAATAATACCAAATTTAGCACATAAGTCATCAAAATTTGACGAGTCATATTCTCATCTCTACCAGATCTTAGTACCTTGATTGTTTTGCCCGTTAATTTTCCACTTTTTTTGTAAGTGGCAAATACATCCAGTGCCTCATCTTTATTACATAACATGTATATATAGCAATATCAACTATGATCATCTATAAATATAATAAAATATTTTTATCACCTCGACTTTGAACAAATTTCAGATTACATATATCGCTATATATCAACCCTGACTGTTCACTACATCTTTCAATTAAATTGAAAGTTTTTTTTTTAACAAATTTTATTTCAACACAAATTTGCATTTATGTTAATTTTTTTTAATTCAAGTTTAGATATAAGTCCTAAATCTACCTATTTCCTCAAGCAAACAAGATTAACATGTCCTAATCTGCTATACCATAAA